CAATTCGTCGGCTGTTTAAACGCATAACACTGTAATGGACATATCTCAGAGTGCACAAGTCCAAATCAGGTGTTCTTAGAGGCATTTGAAAGCTAATTCAGAATAATACAGCTTTCATGTTTTGTCAAAAAGCTAAATCATAATGGATCCTAGTCGAAAAACGTGATAAACTGGACTTAACTGATCACACGGACTGCTTGGGAAATACTTAAAACAGTAAGGGTATTTTGGACTTTTCATGTCCTACGTTGCTCCGATTGAGCTGAAATTTTGTAGGTACCTATAAAATACCATTCTATACAACTTTCCTTCTTTGACCTAAGGCCAATTCAGCCTCTAACATAGGGCTACAAAACCGGACAGAATAGAAGAACAATTTTCCAGAATTCTGAAATTTTCAGTTTCTAGTGGAATTTTCTCAAATTTCTGGTTCTAATCACCACCAAACAACCTTATATAACCTTAATTACAACATTTACAATCATACAACAAGTTTAGGCAGAGAGCTATGAAATCCTAGCTTGCTTATTCATCCCAAAATTCATCACAACCACTTGCATAATCATGAAATTAAGCCAAAACTTAAGCTAAAAATCATCTTAAACCCAAAATTTAAGCAACAAGGATCATGACCAGATTTGTACCTCTAAAGCAAGACTTGGATGAGTGATAGTTCACTACCTTTGAAATTTCTTGGCTCCTCAAGCTTCCCAACTCACAACCTCCACTTTAATCGGTTTGGAATTGGAATTCCTCACTTAGTTGTAGCAAATCAAGAAGATGGAATGTTTTTTTTCTTGCTCTCACTTTCTCACACTCTTTGGTTCGGCCAGCAGCAGAAATATGGAGAGGAAAGGTGAAAAAAATGGTTAAGTAAGAATGCCAAAGTGTCTTGGTCAAGATGCTCTTAGGTGGCGACACTTGTCGCCACCACCACCTTTCTTTTTTTTCTCTTTCTTTTCCTTCTTTTCTAGCCACTAGTTTTGGTCAGCCTTAGCTGTAATATAAGAAGATATTTTGCTCAAGTATCAATGAACTTGTAGGGTAAGAAAGTGGTGGTCAAGTGGTGCGTTCAATCGGTAGTGCGCGGGACCCGCCGGTTCGCGCCGTTTTTCTTAAAAACTCACGTACTAGGGTTTTTACTTCCCATTCACTAACCTTATATCATTGTTACCAATCACATATTATTTCTCACTTAAAAGTCACTTTTAATCCTCAAATTTAATCCTTACTCTGTACCGAAAATTCATCCGGCGAAAAATCGGAAAACCCTAATTTTGCTCCAAACTTGAAACCGAAGCGTAAAACCCTATTTTCTAGGTTTACTTACACTTATTGTGAAATAATTGGGTAGTGGGCTTTGATAAATAATAATTTTCAAATAAAAGGGTATTTTTGAGAAAAATACAAGAAATTTGCGAGTCCTCACAGCGATGATGGGTGATATTTAGATTTTTCAGATTTTTCTTATCGAACCTCTCGTTTTATTATCATTTAAGTTCATATGCTAATTATTACATCCTATAAATATTGTTCAATTTTGTATTATTTATCATTATTTGAATTAACATTAACATTAAAAGATTTCAAAAACATGACTTAGGCAAATTTTATTAGTATTTTAATAGCATACTTGATTATTTACTAAATTTATAAAATTAACATAATATCATATATTAAATTTTCGTATACTGAAGTTGCAAATTCAAATTGCGGCGTTAGTTTTTTAAAAAAATTAAGGCCTTGCCGTCACTTTTTTTTATAAAAAATAAAAAAAATAATAAGTTACGGAACTACGACCATTGGTTATGTGATCGACGGTGGGAAAACTATCGTAGCAATTGAGATTTGCGGTTTTACTTAAAAAAAAAGCATAATCACTTTTTAAAAAAATTGTGATTTCACTTTAAAAAATATTATTTTGGGCACAATCTGCAATCATGGTCCATGGAAAAAAAAAACTAACGCCGCAAATCAGCAATAAAAAAAAGGCTATGGTAAATGTTTCGCCGCTCATCTGCTTGCAAAAAAAAAAAAAAAAAAAAAAAGAAACTACAGCCAGCCAATATAGCTAGGGAAAATGAATGCAAAAGCTAAATGAGCGGCAAAGCTTTTGCAAAAAAGAAAAAGAAAAAAAAAAGAAAACTAAAGCTATCAAAATAAAATGAAAATTAAAAGCATTTTTATTGGAAGCCTCGTATCGGAAATGCGGCGACCCCTAAATCAGCAACGCCTACCAAACTGCACCAATTTTATGACAATTTTTTATTTTAGCAACATTTTGAGAAATTCGCCATTTTGAAGCCCCCTCCTCCCCCCCTCCCAAAAGGATAACTATTTTGGTCAAATTTTCAAGGTTCTGCCTAGTATATTCCAATTATCAATCACCACCTATAATATAGTCCAATTTTAATCCATAACCAAAGAAAAGAAGGATTCTTGCATAGCATACCTAGGAAAAGAACTCGGCCGTCCAGAAACTCCACTGTGGTTGGAATTCAGGGGCACTTGGTTCGGCTTTTAGAATTGGTACTGTAATTTGTATCATTTACGAAATGGCTCCGTTTGAATTAGTTATTTTTTGAGAATATTTTTGAAATATTTTACTGTAGTAATTTATATGAAAAATTTTTGCTTTAAATGATTTGGTGATGTTTTTGGGATATATTTTGGGATATTTTTAAAATTTAAAAATTTTTAGAATATTTTTTAAAATTTACACTACTACCCATCACCACCACCAACCCCTCCCTCCTCCTCTCTAAATTTCCTCCATCCTCCTCCCTCTCTCCCCTCCTTCCCTTCCCTTATCCTCCTCTCCTCCCCTCTCCTTTCCGGCCACACCCCACCTCTCCCCTTCTCTAATACATGGCCTCAATGGGTGTGGCAAGAAAAGGGAAGGGGAAGTGAGAAGGGAAGGAGGAAGAAGGGAGGAGGAAAGGGGAGGAAGGGAAAGAGAGGGAAGAGGAAGAGAGAGGGAGAAAAAAGAGAAAGAAGGAGGAGATGGTGGCGATAGATGAAAGAAGAAGATGGTGTAAATTTTTTGTATAGTTCTTAATTTTTTTTGTATATTGGAAGTTCTTTTTGATATATTTTATAGATATAGTATTTTAGAATTATTTTTATTTATGTATTATTGTAGTATTATATATGAAAAACTTGTTTTTCAAAAAATAGAAAATTCAAACAGAGCCTAGTCTAGGTATGAGCTTATGGCATCATTACAATATCTATTGCTTGGTAAGAACTTTTCAGTTTTGGGTATCATTATACAATTTTGTATTTTTTTTTTTGAGAATTTTTTCATTTCTTTCCTTTCTTCCGTCTTAGACCCTTTTGGCCATCGGTAATGGGTTCTTTCTTTAGCCACCACCCATCAACTTCAAAAATGAAGGAAAAAATTCACAACTAATGCTACTAATTTCAAGCTGCTAAGGTTTGTTGATTTCAAGATCATTGAGATTTGCCAATCAAAGATCGAAACTATAACTAGAAATCCAAGATGTAGAATGGTCACCTTCCTATGCTTCCAAGATGCAGAATGGTCATCCTCCTATGCAATTTAAGCATGGGTAAAGTTCATACATTTTGGCATTGGAAATCATCCCTCAACCTCATCACCACACAAGGCTTGTAAATTGTTGTGTTTAAATGGAAAACTTTCCAAATTTTTGAGAATAATTTGCTATTACGTTGACTTGATCATAGGAAAAATTGATTGGAGGAAAAGAAGATGAACAAAGAAGGAGGTCAGAGGCTATCAGCAAGCAAGAGGGTAGAGAAAGAAGGTTTGGTTGTTAAGGTGGCATGGTCGTGGAGACACTTGGAAATGGGAGAGAGAAGTACAGGAAGGGAAGAGAGGTAGAAAAGATGGGAACTACTATTTTTTTTGAATTTTTATTGTCCATTTAGGAATCAATTTTGGTAATCAGCCAAAACGGGATTGAGAGTCATCAAATTTTTAGAATTCATTCCAATTTTTCAATGCCCATACCTATTTATCAAGCAACAAGTATGGTAGTTATTCCAATTCCTGAAACCCAAACCCTCTTATCAAGCGGCCCTCTAGCTGAAAAGAAAGAAACTAGTTAGTTTGGGAGTCTAGAATAAAAAAGGAAAGAAGAGAAAGAATAAGGATGCATTTGATTTGAAAAAACCGATGAAGTTTGAAATCTGAAATATGTACAAGTGTTTGATGTTCTTTTGAATTGTTAGTATATTCTTCTTTCTCTTTTTTCCCCCTCTTTTTTCATAGTTTACATATTTAATATACATAATTAATATCTATTACATAATTATTACATCACAAGTCAGTAACGGTTGGTCCAAAGATTGAACCAATGAGTCTTGGGCCGCGAATAATTAGTCTGAGTCAGTGCATGGGCTGGCTTTCAAAACCTTAATCCCAAAAAAGAGTGGCCAAGCTACTAAAGTCTACAAATGCTGCGAGCTAGATCCAAAAGATTTTGGCAGCTGAGAGCCAAGTCTCCAATTGGCTATCTCCATGAGATGGAAACGGCAAAGAAGATAGACCCAAAAGATGGGTACAAGTCTTCAGTGGTTGCTGTAGAATGAACAAATTAGGAGGAATTGTCAGAATAAGCCAAGTAATACGAAGTACAGACAGCCTAAATGGGCTCCCACTCCCACGTACGCAGGTTAGGTGGTGATCATGCCTTTCATATGTTATAAATTTATATTACTCTTTTTTTTTCGAAAACGATAGAAATTTTATCATAATAAGGAAGTAAAACTACATTATTTGAGCAAGAGCTCAAATTTGACTTTACAAAAGTGGACTAAGCCACTGATGAACTTAAAGTTCATCATCAAAGTATAAACATAGCTAATCTACTCAGTTTAGCACTGAGTCTATCCATATCAACAGGCAATCTATCAAATAAGCATTTCCTAAACATTGAGCAAAGATCTTTTATATCCTCCAAGTGAGTTGCCAGCCTTAAGTTGCTAGAAACTTGATACCGTATGATATTTAGAACCTGACTGCATGGTGTTCGGATATTAATATGCTGCCATCCTGTGTCCTTATGAAGTGTCAGTTTGATGGCCAAGAGATGGTCCAGCACTGCTAAACCAGTGCTTCTCTTGTTCAGTATCCAAGCTTCACATTTTTGGCTCAAATTATTTTCTGCTGTAACTCCAATTCCCATATTTTGGCGTTCGACATGTTGACCCACTTCAACACTAATGTTCAGCAGGTACTCCTCCTCCCCCATCCATTCCTCCTCATCTTGTGCCGTTTCTGTTTCGAGAATGCTCAACTGATGTTGTTTCTGTTGTGATTGGTGATACTTCTCCCAATCCTTAATGGCTTTCCTAATGACTTGCATAGGGTGTCTATCCTTCCCTTCCAATTCAGCTTCATTCCTGGCTTTCCAGATCTGCCAAAGTATTTCAACTGTTAAGTTTATGTGCTCCCTTCCCTCCTTTCGCGTCTGCACTTCCATTAACATGCTCCACCATTTCCTGAAATCAGCTGTGTGCTCCTTAAGTCCATCCCACTGGAGGGGTGCCATTCGCCATATCATTTGTACTTGTTTGCACTGAAAGAAAATGTGTTCCACTGTTTCAGTATTTTCTCCACATAGCTTGCAGATTATATCGCCTTTGCCCGTTCGTTTATGTACTGCCTCCCTACTTGGCAAGGCTCAGTTCAAGATTTTCCATACAAACAGCTTTTGTTTGTGCTTTATCTTCATCTTCCAGAGCTGTTTCCAGACTTTCCCACTCCCTCCTTCCCAGCTTGTCTGTCCCTTAGCTTTGCCGTTGAGTTCCAACAGGTTTTTCCTTCTTGTTATTGCTTCATATGCTGAACTCACTGTGTACTATCCATTTTCACTATGGCTCCAAAAGTAGGAGTCTGGTCTACCAGTTAGGCTAATAGGGATTTATAGTACTCAACTTCAGCGAAGTTGTGATTCAGGAAAAGACAAGACAATACCTTAACACGCGTTGTCATGGAATCATATGCCGCGTTATTTTATTCAAAAATAAAAAGATTAATCTTTTGATAATATATACATTCTTAGTTTAGTTTTGAATAAATGATAACTATATTGATTATATTGATATTGTATGCTATTAGTTTTGTATGAATAATGGTGATGCAAATTTTGAATTTAAAAGCAATTTTTTCACATGTATTATAGATCCAGTGTTGTACGCGTGTCATAAATCCAACGATAATAGCATATACATTATATATATATATATATAATTTGCTCAATAAAAAATGGAATCATATGTTATCATTTCTATTACTTCATTTTCACCAAAGTTGTCATTTCCATGTTTAAGGCAATTCGATTAGCAGTTTGTTGTTGGAAAAATATTATGAACGTAGTAGTTGGGTAATTGTGATGTAGTTTGTACAGATCGTGGGTTTTTTAGGGGTCAAATTTTGTTGTATGCAAATACAGCAGTTTTTTTTGGCAATGGACTGGGTTCCTTCCATGTAATAATAAGGCATGGCCTCTTTGCAAGATCTTTCTCTCTTATAATTAAAAAAAATTGTGAATTGTGTATATAAAATTGCTTTTTAGCCCACAACTCATTAGAAACTCCTATATGTCCAAACTGTTTTTCTCATTAATTTTTCTAGATATTCAAGTTTTAAGTAATTAGTATCAAATTTACTCACCAAAAATAAAAAGAGGCAATTAGTAGGATTCGCGTTTTGATGCCTTTAAATATCAAATGTGAGAGTCCACATGGTTTTTGTAGAACTTAAGACTCCAATTTGTGAAATAATTTGTATATACTAAGCACGAAACCGTATGCATGTTCAATTTCCTAGTATAAATCAAACCTGCATATATCCCATTTTAATTCATTTGTAACTTTGTCTTTTTTTTCTTTTCTAATGTACACCGTAACTCTGTATGCGTACGACTTCACTTTGAATATGTAAATTTAAAGTCCATACTTACACAACTCAAATTGTTCCAGAATTTCAAAAATCAAATCAAGCAGCCCCTTGTTAATTACATGTATCCTCTATATTAAAAAAGGATAAATTACCTTTTACCTCTTGTAGTTTGGTACTTTATCATGTAATCTCCCTATGGTTTAAAAATCTATATATAGTCCCTCATGTTTTGGATTAAAGTATCTCGGTTAGTTTTTCCGTTAAAACTAATAGTCAGTAGTAAAAAGTTAAAATCAAACTAATAAATTAACAAAATTATCCTTTCACTAATTTTTTTCTTTTTTCCTTCTCTCTCTCTCGGAAAGAAAAGAGATGATTTTGAAAACCTATACTTTGGCCTACAAAATCTTAATTTTCTCCAAATACAAAAGAGATGGAAGGAAAAACAAAAGACAAATAAATAAGATAAAGATAGAAGGAAAATATAAAACAAAAAAATAACAAACCAAAAATACTCAATCTTTTTTTACTACAAATATCATTATAGGTTTTTAAACCAAATCTTTAATGGAATTTTCTAATTCTTGTTTATCTATTTTTATTTCAATTTCTTTTTTTAATGTTTGGAGGAAAAAAAAGTGATGAAAGGGTAAATTTATCAATTTATTAGGTGATTTTGACTTTTTACTATTGACTGTTAATTTCAATAGAACAACTAACGGTGACACATTAAGAGTTATACATAGATTTTTAAACCATAAGGGGTCATGTAATAAAGTACCAAACCACAAAGAGAGAAAGGTAATTTATCCTAAAGAATTGCTAAGAGTTCCTTTTTTTTCTTCTTTTTTACTTTTTCAGTGTAAGTGAGAGGAGTGAGAGGATTCGAATCGTGAGATTTCTTATTGACACTTTCTCCCCCAGTCCACGCAACCCATCCTTTCCACCGATCGGTTACAATTTCATTATTTATTTTATTATTAATTTTCCCTATTACTAGACCTGATGTGGATTAATTATTAGATTCTACTCACTTTTCATAATCTACATTTATTTCAGGGAGTAGAACAAAAATATCACAATCAAGGCCAATTTGACAGTCATTGGAAAAGAATTCAAATGGAAGGTCTTCAGGGATATTTTTGGAACAAGGAGACACAAGTCCTTTTGGGTAGTTTGCGGAAGACAACATTTAAAAAAGAAGCACAAAAGACTGGAGTCATTTCTCTCCTGGTGGGCCGCCGCACATGAGAGCCAAGCATTACAATAGATTAGTAATTCAATAGGTACGGGGAGTAGCAGAATACTTCTCTTGGGCTTTGGACAATTTTGTCCTTTAGTGGTCTTGAGTCCACGTATGTTACACTTAGGGTAGAAATAAGGGGTCATCATCTTTTTGACCAAGTAGTCTTTTTTTCCATTATTCGGTTTTCCACTGTTTCTTCCTCTCTAATTGGGAGAATGTACGTCGCAACTATTTATGCAATTTTGTATGGGATTTTTTCATCAATAATGAGCTAAACCCCTTTTTCTAGTCAAGGAGCAACGGATGCATTGGCTCGCCTAAAATTGTGAGATCGATTTAATTTTATCTTTTTCTTTTATTTATTGCTATTCGGATATTCCCTGGTTACAGTGCTTATGATTGTTTAATTAATTGATTATTTTGGATCCGGATAATTAGTTAATTTGATAATTTATTGTCAATTGGGACGTTAAATCCATAATTGTTTAATTGTCTCAAAATAGTAATAATTGGCATGATTGGATTTGTATCAGAGGAATACGCGGGCTAACCTAAAATAACTCTAGTAGTGTGTTATTTGGTTAGAATAGGGCTTCTCTAATACGTAAGGCAATTGGGGAATTAAATCTTACGGGCGTACCTATGATTATTTCTCAATTAGAGTAGTGATTAACGAGCGTACCTTAATCAATGACACAGTAAGAAGGGGTTGACTGTCATCACTTGTTTGGCAATTATAACCTATTTATTAGTAAATAATTGGAATTGCCTTTGTTTCAATGATCAATTAGGTGAACAATTACTGAAGTTATTCCTTGGCTAGATCCTTGATTATCACTCATTTGATTTTAGTAAATTGTTATTTAATTTCTAGTTGGCTATTTTATTTTTATTATTTTACTTTTAGTTGAATTACTTAAATTGTCACCCTTGATATAAAAACACCCCCTTGTCACTGTAAATTTGAAAAGAAACAATTACTTCTAGTTTCTGTGGATTCGACCCTACTCATCGCTATCTACAGAAATTACTTTTAGTTTGAGCAGGTTTTATTATTGCACAGCCCGACAACCTGTCAATTTTTAGTGCCATTGCCGGGGACTGGTGTCAGATTAATTTGTTTCTTTTTGAGTTCATTTTTTTTCTTTTTTTTTAATTTTTTTCTTTTTTTTTATGTAGTTTATGGCTGCTAATATTCCGTATTTTGATGATAGACTGTACTTTATTCCTGAATGTGGTTATGAGACTCGTGTTTTTTCTAATGATCAATTGACAGTTGCAAATTGTAGGACTTATTTTGCCTTAGGTTATTCAACCGACATATACCCCGTATTTCAAGATAACCTAAGTGCTCCAATTAATACTTTTGGAGATTTTTCACCTCGATTTCAAACGTGGTATGACCCTTACTCAAACAGGTATGATCAAGGATGGTGGGATAACTTCAATTTTAATTATGCGACCAGGCCAATGGATTTTCAACTGCAAGAGTCTCAGCAATCATCCTCCGTGTCAGGTACGTCTCTTGAAGAAATGATTGAATTACTAACTGCTAATTCATATCGATTTCAACAGGAGATACAAGTGATGGCAGATCAAGTGCAACTATTGACATCCGGGATGGCAGATCAAGTACATCTATTAACATCCAGGATAACGCGATTAGCTTCTCACCTTGAAGAATTGCCTGCACAAACCAATATCAACCTTGAGGAAGATGAGAGTGCAATTGTCCGGCCAAATGACATGGAACTGCAAGAGTTTCAAGAAAACATATCTAAAGCTGCAATTGAAAGGAAGTTAAAGTGCAAGAAATGAGACCCCAGTATCAACTCGGTCAAGTGAATGAATTCAGTGAACAATCTTCAAATGCGATGACATCTCATCCATTCCTTCATCAATATTTTCCTGACTCTTATTCTTCAATCCCTGTTAATGAAATTGAATTTATTATACTAGAAAATTTTGAATTTTATGACAGGAATAAATTAAGAGTGGCGACGACAAGATATCTTGAACCAGTAAATGCAAGTGAGAGAGGAGTGAATGGAGAATTCAAATTATCGTTGACTTGTTTGGTACCATTTACTAGTCCAGGGAAGACTGTAACTCGTATGCTCAAGGATTACTCTATTTATGAGGGTTATCAAGACAATATAGAGGATGGAGCATTAAAACGAGTCACAAGATTTTATCCTCCCTGAACAACTATGACAACGTCTAGTGGGAGACGTTAAAGAAAGGCACTCATTGGGAGGCAACCCAATCTCTTTTAGTTGTTTGTTCATTTTTATTTGTTAATTTAAATATATTTTTCCTTGGATTTGACTAATTTATGGTTTCAATTTTCGTTTTTGATGACTTATAGGTACCTCTCTGACATGACGCGCCGGCGTCAACTG